AAAAAAAAAAAAACCCCCCCCCCCCCGCGCCTTACGCCTCTGACAACGAAGGCATTCCGCGAAACTGCATTAAAATAGAGAAAATATTTTACAAGGTGATGAACGTTTAACAGGCACGGAGCCATATAATTCTAAGAGCGAGAGCCTTGCGTTGACAGAACGAGCGGAGCGGAGCGGAGAGTTCCGAGAAGGAAGCTGGGCGTTCGCCCCATCAGGCGCTTTCAGCGAAAACTGCTCGCGGCCTTACGAAACGCAAAAATCGTCAGTCAGAGAGACGCCGGTCGCTAATTTCCACATCGCGCGCCGTGACACGTCGCATCCGAGATCTCGCAAAACAGAAGCACATCGACCAGCTCCTTGCAACATCTTTTCGGGCGGCGTCGCGGACTGACGCCCTTCCACAGCGAGGTCCTCGCTTTCGACGAACAGAAAAACTGCTTTGTTCACGGCGCGTTACTTCAAAGAGAGAGAGAGAGAAAGAAACAACGGACGAGCGTCTTGCAAGCACCAAAACAAAATTAACGCGAAATGTTGCAGACACACGCGAATTCAAGAGACAATGACGGCACTGCACAATTCAGTCGTCGAACGACGGCCAGACCCTCCGCTCCGCCGGCCTTTCCTTTCGTCGGGGAGACTCCGGCACTCACCACCCCCCCCCACCCGCCCTCGGGGTAATAGTGCTGCCGGATGGTGCTGGTGGGGAGCTGCTGGTGCTCCGCGCCGCTGCTGGTGGCCGCCAGTCCGGAGTCCTCGGCCCGAAACAAAAGCGACTCGGAGCGAGCGACAGCCATCGCGGAGCGGCCGGACGGGACGGCGGGTGCCGGCAGACTGACGGACGGACAGCGCGCGCGGAAGGATCAACAATGCGCGACCGCGGCAGAGTGGCCGGTCATCATTTCTTTTGTTTCTGCTTTTTCTCGCCGCCTCAGCGCTAATAATGGCATCCATTTATCAAAACACGACGCGCAAAAAACGGAGTCGTTCGACAATCTCTCGAGACACGTGTCTACGCCGACGATGAGTCATTACACGAGCTGACGGCTTCTGGGGAAAAGAAGGAACACGCGGCCACATTCGGAGTCCAGTGTCGCCAACACACGCTGAATAACAAGCGAGAGCAAAGGCAGACGGAACGTCACGACTCCGATCTGTTCGTTTGGCAACGAACAGAACAGAACGCAGTCCGAGTTTACAAGCGCTGCCTCCATCTTCAGGGCGACGACAGCCTCGTTCTCTCTTCGGTCCGAGTCGTAACGGAATGCGTTAATCGGTGCTGCCACGCGCGGACGACGCGGGAGCCTAAAAATACCGAACGTCGCGTCGCCACGGCACGAGTGGCGGGTGCGAGGCAGAAATAGCCCCGGAAGGAAATTCAGGACGAGTCCCACGATTCACTGGATGTTTAACGACGCCGCATTCATGGCAAGAACAACGACGTCGGAAATGAACCCTGAAAAACCATCGCAGAGAAATTCTTTTCACTGGCCCTGCGTTTCGGCAAGCGACAACCCTGACCTTTTCCAGGTAACAGACGGACTCGAAGGGCGTCTCTCACATCGAACACGCCAGAATCGCACTGCTTCGATATATGTGGTTTTCATTCGACCTCTCGTGTCTCCCGCGCGCACTCCGCAACAATACGTCTCTCGGCAACAGAGTTCAGTGACTGCGTCTGTAATTAGTGGTTGGCCGAGGTACCCGAGTTCTGTTTCTCTATAATAGTATTTCGTGTACGCTCCGCCCCGAGACGCGTTGCCCCGCCTCGGGCCATTCTGCGCAGACGCGAGCAGTGGCGTGCTCACGCCGTATGCACGCCACTGCAACTGTTAGGCCACAGGTTTCGATGAAACTTGGTACTGGGGGTTCTACGAAATTCAATTTTCGAAAGAATCATCTTCATAGTGAGACGAAATGTAACGAAATGAGGGACAGATGATTTGTTTTTCGCAGTTAACAAGTCCATATTAAGGCGAAGCTCACAGAACACACGCCAAAAACGCTTTCAAGACGTGTAAAAAGTCCGGACAACTTATGACCGGAGCCTAAAATGACTTTAAAAATATCACCCGTGCAGTGGCTCCGTCGCTGGCCTTAAACAGCAAAACTGCGAAAGCCGGGACCCGACCACCGTCCGCGATATCGGCTTTTCGGGGAATTACTTCGTCGTCGTTTTCTCCGCGGTACGGGTCGGTCTGTGCAATTGAATGGACTCAGGTCGAGCACGCACACTCCTCTGAGTCTTTCGGATCGACCAACGCCTCCAGGAACATCCTATAGTCGGAATATTTTCGTCGTAAAAAACCTAAAAAAATACACGTGCGAGGCCGGCGCCGCGGTTTGTCTTAATATCGACGGGGATTCGGGTCATATAAACGGCGTCTTACACCTAAAAGAGAGATCGAGAGAGCGAGAGAGAAAGAATTTGACGAGAATATAAAGTGCGAACCTGCGCACCATCTGTCGAGTACTTTTCCAACTGCTTGTGGACCTTCACGCCCAGAGCGCGTGTCCATCTGGCGACGTCGCGACGAAACAACAACGGCAACTGGCGACGAGGTTTCGCTCGTTTTGATGAAATGAGCGACCAACACACGCGGGTCTGTCCGGGGTGGGAAGGCCGTCCAGGACAGGGCGGCCACGTGACGTACACAGCCAGCAGCAATGGACACGGCCCCCTCACCGCGTGTCAGTGCGACTGACGTAAGCCCGTCCTTCCTACAGGCTGACGTGCTCTAGTCATGGAAACGCGAGCCCCTTGTGCCGGTGCTGCGCCCACCTCAGGCGCTAATGCACGGCTTTGTGGCTGTCACAAAGGCGCGTCATTTAACAACGCTGCCACAACTGTCAAAGTTGACACGCGACTAACGATTCTGCATGAAGAAAGGCTCCGAGGAAAATCACGAAATTCCAAGCATAATCAGCGTGGCTACACGTCACGTGGTGATAGACGACCGATGTTCACGTGAAATACAAGAAGGAAAAAGAAGTTGACGCGAGCGCCATCTGCAAGGAGCAGGAGGAGAGCCGATACTTCAAGAAGGATCTTCTCAGTAAATCACTTTTTTTTTTTGCAAAACGTTTCTCGGTTCGATGGGACAGCGCGGCCGCGAAAACAAACAAACACAGGGTGCTCAGAAACCTTGTTCACTACGTCTCGTTTTACCACGCTTTCAATTCAAATCTACCGACGGGCTCCTTTGACCCACTCTTGCCCCCTGCAGCCTACAGTAACGGAACAAGCTAGACGAGGGTTGCACAGACCAGGGACGCATGCGCACTGACCGAGTGGCAGGTGGGCTCCGGAGCCAGACCACGTGGGAGGACAATCAAGAACCCCGTCTGAAGCGAAAAGGGCGAAGGCACAGAGAAACTGGACGCCGGATACTCCGGAGGACCGCCCTGAAGCCGGAAACACGCGAGACTAAATACACGCCATCAGGAAGACGACGATTCCGCGGGAGGCGATGAGCCTTAGTTCGTATAATCAAACGAACAACATGGAACATCACGATCTCGTCCCGAGGAGCTTAACAAACCACCCACGCAAGCAAGAAGGTCGATATTCCCAGCAGATTACACGGCGGATGATCTTTGTGCGCGCTCGCTCTGTTTTTCTGGCGAGGAGGAGTGTTGTGCCAACGACTCGCATTCTCTGCTATAGCGTTCGGACCCGCAGCGCGATCACGTGATTTTGCATCAAAGGATTTGCATTCGTTCTCAGTCGGTGGTTCGTGGACGTTCATCGTCGCTCGCACAAAAGCTCGCCACAGCATATCCGCCCCCTCGTTTCGCGATCCCTCCGCCGCACAGCCGTCAACGAGGGTCCACGGGGACCCAATCATTTCGCCTCGACGCGTTTAAAAGAAGCGGCGACCCGGAACCTCCTTCCAAGTCCTTACCTAGTCACTCAGCAGGCTGTACGACACAGGCAACTGAAACCTTCCCCCCCCCCACCCGGTTACCCCGTCATGAAAAGACGCTGGTTCAAAACCCGCGTAAACGAAATTTTGGAGATTTGCTGCGTCCAGAGCGCGAGACGACGAGGTACTCGCTCGGTCGTCGGCAGGCGACGGAGTGCTCGTGTACCCAAAACTCGACGAAATTTGGAACCCGGAACTTGCACGTGCGCGTTCTGTCGCAGTCGTTTTGTGTTTCCGGGGCCACAGATGACAACGTGACGTCATTACACCGGTCGTGGGAACGCAGCGAGGGGCCTGGTTCGGCGCTGGAACACGACGTTCTTTAGGCGGAAGGGGACAGAAGAAACTCGGTGGGCGAAATTGATCAGGGCCAAAGACCACAAATTACACCAGAAACGCCGACGTGTATCGGCAGTCGCCACACGTCAGCACTTGGACAACGCGTCTCGAGGCCATTTACAACTGTACTTCGGAAGAAACAAGGAATTGTAACAAAATTTTGGCCGGATATGGTTCAGAAGCGAGCTTTTGTGTCGACGATGGTGAACCCAGAGGCTCTACAAAGCAAAAGCCCTTCAGTGAGTAAGAACTGCTCGAGGAATTCGTCAGTCGCTGGCACATAACACAAAAACTGCAATTCGTAACGAAGGCCACGCGGACGGACGAGGCCGACAGCCGCTCCTTGGGGTTTCCAACAGAGACAGCGCCGTAATCGCGTCAGTTCGTTACCCCTGAACACGCGAGTCGCGGTTGGCAGGCCGTGGGTCGAGGAACAGTATTTTGAAACAGGCCACCACGGACATCGCCCCAGACAACTCAAATGCCTCTGCCGACGGCGTCACCCAACTGCGCCCTTGGGGCTCCGATGCGAAGATGAACTGCTTCTAGGATATTCCGCAGTGCACCCTGGCCGACGTTTCGGAGGTGCTTGCTGCCGACATTGTCCTGAAGAAGACGGGCACCGTCAGCTTCGTCGCCCCGCACACTTCGCCAGAACGGTGGATGGAAACGCCGTCCACCTCGGCGTACTACCCGAGTGCAGAAGCCAACACTCGCTCAGCGAAGATTCATTACCGTGTTCGCAGAATCCATAAGCACGAGGCAGGCACGAGTATTGCGAGAGGATACTATTAAAATGAACTTTAAGAAAACAGCATAAGGCGAAGAGGAGCAGCGCGGAGTGCCAGGCACTGTAGCGCTGTAGGTTGGATAACGGGACCATAGGAGTGGGGCGAGGGACCGCGGGTCACTGCGCCAGGAGTGTACACGCCACACGAGAGCCAGCCACAGATTACTTCATCAGCGTTCCTTCCAATATTATCGGCGACGAGCAGGCCGTCTTAGCCCCACAGGCACAGAGCGTTCACCTCGGCCTTCGGGGTAGAGCGTTCTGCCCCAAGGGTGGAGGCGGCATGTCCCGTCACCCTCACTCACCGGCCGGAGTGACGACGCCGTCGACGCCGCCAAATCGCCGCACCGTCTCGACCAGCAGCACGCCGTACGCCACGTGCAGACCGTGGCTCAGAAGCTGCACCAACACCCCCA